CTCGTGCCGCAGCATACAGAAGCTGAGGGGTTGGTAGCTGTGGGAGTCCTTGGTCAAAGGCAGCTTTTAAGCATCGGTGCCCAGGTACTGTACCAGCGGGCGACTTGCATCGGCTTGCATCGCGAGGGCGTGGGTCCATACGCAATTGCATGCAACTCTATGCAAGTCATCTGTCAATACGGTAGCAGAATCTGCTTTGGAGGCAAATATATCAGCCACGAATGACCATCTGCACTGCCGCTTATGCAGTGTTTTAGGCATCCCTCCTATCAAAGGCACCCAAAAGCGCTTGAACGGCTCCAATTTTTCATCACATCTCTCATCCCTCCTCATTCCGCGCTAGCTTTTAACTAAAGAGAAGAGCAAACTCTGCACACCTTGGGTGTCAAGGAAGGGGGCTGGCGCTTTTGGGATAGCGCAAAACATGTGTGAGGAGAGGTGAGAAATGTGAAGAGAGATTAAAAAAATTTGAGTGCTTTCGGGCGCTTCTGAAGTCTGACGGATGTCGGGTCCGAATATCGAATTTCGAATACGAATATATTCGAATGTTTTATTCGAATGATCAAATTTCTATTCGATTTTCTATTCATTCCAAGTATAGTAAGAACCATGAGTTTGAAAATTCGATAGTTATCTCAGAAACCACTGAGACAAATGGTCTCAAAACATGACTGATGGAGAGAGAAAGAAAAACTGCCTTTGGTAGTCGTTAAAGCATTAACGTGCCTTTATTCCACATTTTAGCAGATTGGAAAAACGGAAGGAACTTCTGAACCGACCTAATAAGTTGGAGCCGGTCACAGAATGCTCATCAAGGTAAACTTAACCATGACATAGCGCAAGTATTTACCCTGACACTTCGCACAAGCATATAGTGATTCTCGATGCACCACTCAGTGTTTACAATAGTGTTCCTACAACAAACAGAAAAATAAGAGGGTGCACAAATTTCACGAAAACTCCCTTAAATGACCTTCCCCAAATCCCCCCTTCTTTCTACAACCCTGTTGATAATCCTTAGGGTCGCGTAGCCCAACCTACAATATCCGCTTCCATGCCAAGGCGTGCAAAGTTTCTTCTCTTCAGCTGAAAGCTAGTTTCGAGTTCCACTTTGCCCGCTTCTTCTTTGTTTTCAAGGGCGCCTTGAATGCAGCTTCCAGGCAAAACTAAACACATGAGGATCGCTCATGGAAACTGATGGAAACTGATTTTGAGGTCCTGCAGATAGCCCCCAGCTATCCTGCCCCCCCACATATGCAATTAAGACAAACCTTCAAAATTTCGACCAAAACATTTCGCCGCTAGTTCTTGAAAATCAACAGTTTCAAGCGAAATTAGAAAACAAATAGGCCTTCCATTCTCGAATAATATTCGCAACTCGAATAATTGAGAAAACGGGGTTTCGAATAGATTTTATTCGAATGTTTTATTCGAATGTTTGTTCGAATTCGTATTCGAATGAACTCCGTATTCAGATTATTCGATTTTGTTGCAGAGCCATCTGCTGAGTATAATCAAGCTCACTTCGTCCGCGTTTTTTTTTCGCAAAACTAGGTAATGCATCTTTTGCAACTGTTATGACCTCTGAACTGTACGGAGAGTCGCATTCTTTCGACTGCTTGCGACAGTAAAAAAATCATATGTAGATTTTAATTGATGCTTTTTCGATCAATGAGATTGTTCGCACTGCTATTGGCACCAAATCAGCAAAGAAGCTATCAAATTCAAGCTCATGTTCCGAGTTCATATATTGAAAGTGTCTTAAAATGCCTGTTTTTCTTTCATTACATTGCTCATGCTTGTGGTACGCAAAGTCCACACTAGTGAGCAATCTTGCTCGCATAAGTTATATTGCACAACTGCCTCTATTCGCTACCTTGGAGATATTCTGCGAAATGGTGTATTTTAATTAAAGGAATTGCAGTTGTAGTGGAGGATAAGACTGTTTAGATCGCCGTATGCGATTTGCCAGTTACGAGATGTCTTTGAATATAACGTCAGCTTATCACATATGTTCAGCGTGTACAACTTACTAAAAAGATAAATGCCCTGCATTCTGTACTTCTAGAATGAGTTTTGATCAAAATTTATATGGACTGCTTTTTTAAATCGTCCAATAATGGGTGAAATACGACTTCTTGCTGATGTATAGACTAGTTGCCAACCTACCAACTTCATCGATTTCTGGAGAAGTTTGAGCTGGGAGGCTGACAGGGGGTTAAGTGAGGGCACTGATTATGAATAAAGATTTACTTTATCGATTTTATCGATTTTTGGAAAATCTCGAGCTACGGGGTTGGGAGTTGGTATAGGGGGGGGGGGGGGGTAAATGGGGATGCTGATTACCGAAGTCTATTTTATCGATTTCAGCGATATCTGGAAAATTTTGAGCTAGGAATTGGTATAGGGGATACAAGGGTGCTGATTATGAATGGATCGGCTTTAGCCAGATATGTCGGCAAGTTTGAGATATGGTTGCTCTAGTTATTCGATAAATCATTCAAATATTTATTCGAAGTTCGACTCCCAATGTTCGAATATATTCGATATTCATTCATTCGATATTTTTGATTTTCCGAATTTATTCGGATTTCATTCATTCGAGAAATTTTGAACCTCGAATTCATTCGATATTCGTTTATTCGAGATTTTTTTCTTTCGAATTTATTCGATATTCGTTTATACGAAATTTTTCGTTTTCGAATTTATTCGATATTTATTCATTCGATGAAAAATTTTCGAATTACCTAAGTATAGTTCTTACCATGCCCAGATTTGGCGATTTTTCAAAATCTTCATTGTGAACTTTTGAAAAAACTTTGATAGCTGTTAGATAGTGCAATGCAGTGAAATTTTTTGGCGCTGACTTTCCAAAATTATAGTTAATACTATCAAATTCTACTTTTGGTCATCCCAAGATTCGCAGAACATCAAACTGCGCACAAAAGGTGTCATTCGATGCAGCTTTTCTCTCCTTTCTGGGGGGCTTTTTTTCTCGATTCGTGGAGTCTTGGCCATAAAATTATCGTAATTAGTGATTTTAAACCTGCCTTTTTCAAATTTGATATTTCGAAGCGGTAAACGCTGTGTTGCTTTGTGAATTTAGCGTGTAACCATAATCAAACTTTGCAAGTATCAACTTCTGACGATTTTTTAGTGTTTGGAGCCTATGTGTATTTTGCGACTTTGCAAAATTGCAGACTTTCGGAAAAGTTATCCAAAAAATACTAAGAAGCTGATTGAAATGCGAGAAAGTTAGCACTGAATTGCACTTTTTTACGCTACCTAACAGCTATCAAAGCTTTTCCAAATGTTCACAAGAAGGTTTTGATGAATTGCGAAACTTAGGCATGTTAAAAACCATAGGTTTGAAATTTCGGCAGTCATCTCAGACACCACCGAGGCAAATGGTTTCAAAACATGACTAGTGGAAAGAGGAAAAAAACTGCGTTTGGTAGTCTTCGAAGTATTTGCCTTTCCTCTATTCCACCTAATTTATGGCAGTTCGAAAAAACGGGAAAAACTTTCAAACCAAATAATATATCGCTGTTCATTAAAGTAGGATTGGGTAGTCTCTCCATGTGTTTGGTTGTCCCAAAAGTAAACCCTTTTTTGATAAATCAAACTGTTTTTGTTCTTCTAGTAAACTTAGGATATCACTCGATAGATCAGATCAAGCTCTACAAAATACGGCTACAAAAGATATTCGCATTTCAGGTAGAGCTTAAAGCCAAAAATTGGAAAAAAATTTTCTCACCTGAATGAATTTTCGCGAGAAAGAATCCTACGGAATACTTCAAAAATGGCGACTCCCCCCTCCTTCCCCCGCCCCACCCAGCCCCTCCCCATACGTCAATGTATACTACAAGCCTTACTCAGTATAATCTGGAAACTTTACCCCTGTGTGTGCTTTTATAATCGAGAAATACTAAGTTTTGCATAAAAAACTCGAAAAAAAGGGCATTTTGGCATTTTCGCACCATCTTTGTTTCTCAATTTTGAGCCTCGGAGAAAATCTACAGGTACTTTGGGTACTACTAAGTGTCTGTTATACAGAGGCCAAGATGGAAGTCCATGGAGATTTTCTGGAAGAGATCCGATTTTTAAGATAGCTGAAAAAATTTGGTTTTTGGCTCAAAATTTTATCTGGGTTACGACTTAGGTGTACCTGTGGTGGTCTTTTTGTAGAGCTTGCATCGCTCTATTGAATGGTACCCTAGGTCTGTTAGGAAAATAAAAACGGCTCAATTTGTTTGACAATGGTACTTTTGGGAGAAACTAATGGAATCATTGTGAAAAAAGCCGTCTGCCAAAATTTTCTTATAAGTCTGAAAAACTCGTAGCAGGGTTTTCATGCTCGCTGATTTTACTACACATTTTTGTGACTTTTGAGTCTTCTCAAGGGTATGATCACGTTCTGAATTGGAAAAACAATAATTATGGGAGAATACTACTTACTAATCAAGCATTACAGTGAAGTGCTATCCATATCTAAAGTCTGCGACATTGATTAATCTGGCATAAATGCTTTTGACTTTTTTCGTTTATCGAGGCAAAAATGGCTTTTAATATTCTAGAATCCTTTTTTGAAGTAAGTTGAATACTCTTTTGTCTTTGAATTTTGGCATGATAAGATGTCAGTAGATAGCTGTGTCAGTAGTTTGCGCCTTCAGTTTCCGTGGTGGAGACTTTGGTCGTAACGGACGTCACTCACTGTGACGTCCATTACGACCAAGTGTGCGACATTGCCGCTAGCAGGTGGAGTCGATACCTTTGATGACGACGGCATTGTCGAAACGTAAGGTCAGTAAGGTCTTCACCACAGATTCTGAAAGCACAAACTACACAATTATCTACTTTTTTGAAGTTCCTAGTGTTATTCTGCACTAATGAAGAGCGATTGAAAATTCGCTTGTATCATCGCTTCCAAATTCGTGTGGAGGTGGAGTGTTGCCAACTCACCGCGTGGCAGTTTTTGCTAGTGAGAAAGTACGAAAAGCAATGCTATAACGTGGAGGTGTAACAAATTTACCTATGTTAACAGGCAAAGTCTGCAATACACCTTCACACAAACCTGGAAACCGATCATACAGTAGGTTTAACTTGAAGCCAGCTCTACAGAGTAATGCCTAAAATTCGGCGAAGACGTGAAGCTATCAGCGATCAAACTGTTTGCACATTTTTGGGACAAGTATATTATGGAATAGCAAGTTTCGGTAAAGACAAAATTGTGTATATTGTGCACAACTTTATGAGGTTCTATTTCTAACACAATCTGCGACATTGTCTCTTACAAATGCCCAGGAATTACATAGCAGAAAAACCGAGGTTATTTGTAGTCTCTGTTCCTTTGCACTCAAAAGATCATTTGTTTTTCTGTCAAGTTGTGCCAGAGAAATCACGTTTTATTGTCATTCATCGTTATATCGACCGCTCTATGTACCGCTCTTATTCTCTCAGAATAATTTTCCAGGGAGTACGTCAGTTCGACCAGAATGAGAACTTTCAACTATATCTTCCTATTACTTACCACAATAGTGGTACGTTGACCAAGCAAGACACGGCTTAGTTTGCGAATTTGCTTCTTAGACTTACTGGCTGTACAGTGCTTTATTGCTTACAGATCTTCTCTGCTGTGAACGCTGCTGTAGGCGGACCGATGGCGGTCTTAAAAGAAGGGATAAAGATGTTTCCGAGACCGGTGCGTTGGTGTGGACATGATGAACTCATGCGTAAATTCAAACCCAGACCACTTTCTCCACTTCCTGTAAAGAAATCCATAAAGAAACAGTGATATTTTGTGCTCAATTGCCGATAAACCTTGGCACTGTGATACAAGTTGTAATACAGTTTTTTAGCTGTCGACTAAGGTTGGTATCAAGACTTTATTGAACGATAAGCCAACGTTTCGGCGGTCCGTCCGCCTTCATAGGGCTTCCTAAAAGATCAAAACTTCGAAAACTGCCCATTAAACGCCCTGTTTGGCAATAGATTTAGTTTAGCTATGTGATGGAGTGGCAGAATAGATGTTGGAAGCCTAACTTCAGCCTTGCCAGATCGGGATATAGAAAGCGGACAATCAGTACTGCGCTGCAGTTGCGCTATGTGTGATAGTCAGTGTCAAAATGCCCTTTATATGGTTAAAGAAGATCTCGTATTAGGATCCACATAGTGTTGGATAGGAGAACCGTTCTGTTTATGGCAATGCCTTCATCTTTGCGGTTCATTTTTGGATTTTAAACGCTTTCTAAGAGGCCTCCAAAGTTTTGAGGGCTATTAACTCGGATTCGTGCGACAAGATCATAAAAGACTTGAAAGTATTGGTTCTCATGACATAACCTTCGATGTGCACCCAAAGGTATGGACATTTTGGATTTTTTAAGGCCGTCAAGATGGTCTCTGATTCTTGCGCACAGGGTTCTGCCAGTCTCTCCTATGTATTGGTCACCGCATTTTTGACAGTTTATGAGATATACCACTCATTTCCATGCAGACGCCTGGTTTTCCAGACGGACATATGACACAATCAGCGGTTGTGCAGATTCTGTCATACGCTAGATTGCGGCTAAGTTGTTCTTTGAGATTAGGAGGTGGGTGATCAAAACTTGTTAATATAGATAACAAGTAACCTACATTGTAGCCGGAAGCCAGGAGTACAAAAAAGTTGGGAAGGGCGCAAACAAAGAGTATTTGCGGAGGGGAAAAAATCAAATTCCAATTGTCCGCTTTCTTGAACATTTTTTCGCAGGCCTTAAAATCCTAAAATATGGAGTTTTTCAAACTTTCTGCGTAATGAACTGCTACACAATTCTGCAGAAACTGTCAGTAGGAAGTCCACCCTTACGCTTACAGAAACAAGCGAAGCTTTGGCGATTGCCCTTTTCAAAGGAAGTTTATGGGTCACAGAATGATCAAAACGACTGCCAATGTTGAGGCGCGAAAATCTCAGTCTAGAGGAATTGGTAGAATGTGCATAATGTAAACAATTTCCATTATATGCAGTAGCTTCTATCCAATGATGGTTAAGACGGGCTTCTAGCTTCATTAGTGAAAAATAATAGAGCTTCACACAACCGCACTCAAAACCAAAATTTCATTGCATTTACTTTTCTGGCCAGAAATAAAGCCCTAATAAAGGCAAACTTTTGAAACTCTAGCTACTGTATTTAATGGAAATTGTCTACATTATGCACATTCTACCATTTCCTCTAGACAGAGTTTCGCGCCTCAACATGGCAGTCGTTTTGATCATTCTGTGATTCATAAATTTCCTTTGGACAGAGCAATCGCCAAAGCTTCGCTCGCTTCTGTAAGCGTGAGGGTGGACTTCCTACCGACAGTTTCTGCAAAATTGTGTAGCAGTTCATTACGCAGAAAATTTCAAAAAACTCCATATTTTAGGATTTTAAGGCCTGCGAAAAAATGTTCAAGAAAGCGAACAACTGGAATTTGATTTTTTCCCCTCCGCAAACACTCTTTGTTTGAGCCCTTCCCAACTTCTTTTGTGCTCGTGGCTTCCAGCTACAATGTAGGTTACTTGTTATCTACATTAACAAGTTTTAAAGAAGGCTATGATCAGTCAAAGACGAAGTTTCAGAAAAAAGTTTTCTGCTTATCAGTCCAAATTTTTTTGCCCGTTGGTGAAATGAGTTTGTGAGGATGTGTGCTGCATTGCGAAAGGCTTAGTGCCTCTAATTTTTTTTTGCCGCACCGAAAAATATAGATTTTTTAGAAGGTTACAACACTCGAAGTGAGAACTCGCAAAACGCGCATCACTTTTGCACCAACCTAATAGTTTTTGTAATTATCTCAGCGCTCGTCGAAGCAGCCACAACAAATATGCAGCTGGAAGGAGGAAAAAATTCCGCATCGGATGCTGTTAGAACGATTTGTCTATCATCATTCTAAACGATTCAAGGACAGGTCTAAAAAACGGCACGAACTTTCGGATCCACCTAATATGAGCTGTATAGGTGAAAAGTTAGAATTACGTCTTGAAAGAGCTCACTGATTTTGAAAATTGACAGAAAAATCGGACGATTAATTGAACTATGATAAAGTTATCTCGTATTATATTATTATATAAAATTATCTTTTGAAAATAACAAAAATTAGCGTGAGTCACTTGTGTCAGAAGAGAGATTTTAGGTATCTATGAGCATTTAAGATCAAAAAAATTTGTAACTTGCACTGATAAATAGTAATGTTATCGTGGAGTGCGATCTTCAGAGCCGTTTTTCCTACTTTCAAATACAATATTCGTCTATATTGACTGGGGAAGGAATTATGGCAAAGAATCTTGAACATCCTCAAATATTTTGGATAAAAAATTGATAACTTCTGTAGGGAGACAGATGTAATTTGGAACGTAGAACACGCTGCCATCGTAATCTCTCGTACAGGAAGCAGTTCATTGGCTACCGGGTTTGTCAGCGGCACGCGGTTTCTCAAGCTACTTCTTGGTACCATGCATCTATGTCGAAAATCACTGCTCAGAGGTGCTTTTTACAGATACAGAATTTTTGGCGAATCTAGGAAAACGGCTTTCGACTCTTATGTAAAGCGACAGTTATGCGATCAACCCGTGTGTCTTTTACAGCTTACTCTGTGTTCAGACGAATATTGTCTGTCATACATTTTACATGTCCACCTGCCGCGATTACTTGAGAGGAATCGATTTTGACGATATAACAAACAGAAAAATCAAAATAAAATTGATATCTTCAATTAACTAAGCTTGACCAAGGTGGCAAGGAATTGAATATGCTTACACGTTTTATTTAATTCTAATTAATTTAAATTCTAAGTGATCTTACAGCTTATCAGCGTCTTGGGGACTATAAATAGACGGCAGAGGAAGGTCACGTCAGTTTATTCGGTTCCGCTATCTTAGGATAGTGAGAGTAGCGACCCCGATGAGTCTTTAACTGTCGCGGTTGAACTTTTGTTTCAGCGCTCTGAAGAAGGCGATACTTCGCCGAAACGCTAAGCATTTTATTTAATTCTTTGCCATCTTGGTCAAGCTTAGTTAAATTTGAAGACTAATCATATAATATAATGCCAAGGTTAATTAACAGTCGGATTTTGCCCGAAATTGATATCGATCATTTGCGTGCACTTTTTGAAACACGGTTCGTTCGTTCGTTTCCTCTGTTGCGATAGCTTATAAGTCTGTGTCTCTGTCGAATCTCAGTAATGTCAAGTGCCAACTGCCATTCTAGGATTATGTGACGATCATAGTTCATGATGATAAAGAAGATCCAAAGTTTTGAAAGAGCACTTTGGCAATATTTATTAGGTTGGTGCAAAAGTAATGCGCGTTTTTCTAGCCCTTGTTTCAAGATAGCTTATCTCCATCGAAGTTTCTCCTATGAAACTTACTTAGCACTTGTCAAGAAGCTTTTTTCATGCTCTATTCAAAGGTGGTTGAAAGAAGCTTCTAGCCTCATTCGTTAACAATTTATAGAGCTTTATACAAGAGCACTCAAAACCAGAATTTCATTGCACTTACTTTTTGGGCCAGAATTCAAGCGCAAGTAAAGGCATTCTTTTAAAAATTTAACTACTAGTAGTGGAAATTTTCTACATAATGCATGCTTTATTGTTTTCCTAGACATTACTTAGACTGAGATCTCGGCGCCTCAACATGAGTGATGGTTTTGGCCATTCTGTGGCCCATAGATTTCCTTTGAAAAGGGCAATCGCCAAAGTGCTGCTCATTTCTGTAAACGTAAGGGTGACCTCTTACTGACAGTTTTTGCAGAAATGTGGAAGCTGTTCAGTACACAGAAAATCAAAAATCTCCATATTTTGGGATTCTGAGAGCTATGAAAAAATGTCAAAAAAAGCGGACTATTTTGAATATTATTTTTTTCCTTTTCGCAAATATTCTTTATTTGAGCCCTTTTGCACTTTTTTTGTACTACTGGCTTGCGGCTACAAGACAGCAACTTATCATTCATACCGACAAATCCTGAAGGAAGTTATGATCAGTCAAACATGAACTTTTCGAAAAAAAATTTTTTTGCTTATCAATCCATATTTTTCCACCGATTTGAGACAATAACATAAATTAATGTGCGCCGTATAGAGAGAGGTTTGCCTCTGATGAACTTTGCCGCATTGAAAAATATGGATTTCTTAAAAAGTTATAGCACGTCAAAGTGAAAACTCGCAAAACGCGCATTATTTTTGCACCAACCTAATATTTGCGTTTGCGATAAAAAGATACTGAATATTTGAGAAGCCTATGAAAAGAAACGAGTCTTTTCCCACGAAAGAAGTGCTGAGAATTCCCGCATAGTTAGGTAGGGTAACACACAGAGCCCAAGACCGCTGTCGCATTTCGTGCTACGGGGACAAGCAGAGCAAATCCCTCCAGTCTTGTATAGCACTAGGTTCGGAATGTTACCTCTGCAAATTTCTCACATATGTTTACGCGAGCGAGTATGAGTGCAACGTACTTTGGACTACAAAAAATATGACGGTGTAGGACGATGAGCATTTGGCTATAGCACATCCAAGATCTTTGGTGTTGACCCAGGCAATCTGTAAAAAGTTGAGGAAAAAACCTTGCAAGTGCACAACTGTAAAACAATTCATATGCTAGTCATTCACTTACTGAATTCCTTTTCTTAACTTTTCATAATTTTTGAAGCTCATTATCCTGGGTATACGTTTTTATAGTATTCCAATATGGGGGTCACGAAATTGTGCTTGCATTCCTGGCCCCGTGTTATCCCTGCGGACCACTTTCCACCATGTCACAGCCTTTATGCATTCACTTTACAAGCTATTTGCTCTAATCTTCTTGAGTGCATCTTTGTAGTTCGA